CCCAAACCCAACAAGGGCAGTGCTGAGGAGGGCTCCTGCCACCCCAAACCCAATAAAGGGAGAGCTGAGGTGGGCTCCTGCCACCCCAAACCCAATAAAGGCAGAGCTGAGGAGGGCTCCTGCCACCCCAAACCCAATAAAGGCAGAGCTGAGGAGGGCTCGTGCCTCCTGCTCCTGAGGAGGTGTGGGATTTTTGGGGTGTGGGATTGCTGGGGTGTTGGGCTGTCCGTGCAGGGCCAGGAGCCAGATCAGAGGTCCCTGTGGGTCCCTTCCAGCCCAGGATATCCTGTTTTTGACCCCCTGAGCCCCAGCCCTGCTCACCCACGCAGTTGTCACACACGCTGCAGTGCGAGGTGCGTGGTGGCCGGAACATTTTGCAGGTGTAGCAGTACTTGAGCTTCACCACGTACTTGTTGATCACCACCTCCATGGTGCGGGCCGGGGGCCGGTACGTGGAGCTGCCCATGCTGTCTGCAAGGACAAGGAGGGACAGTGACAGCCCTGTGTCACCCTGTGCCACCCCTGTGTCACCCTGTGCCACCCCTGTGTCACCCTGTGTCACCCTGTGTCACCCCTGTGCCACCCCTGTGCCACCCTGTGCCACCCTGTGTCACCCTGTGTCACCCTGTGCCACCCCTGTGCCACCCCTGTGCCACCCTGTGCCACCCCCAGCTGCCTCCTGGCACGTGCTTTCCTGGTTTTAACAGAAGCCAAGACAGGATTTGTGGCAGGGTGGGCAGCCAAGAGCTCCAGTCAGCTCCTTGCAGCATTATTGATGTGCTCCCTTTGCTCAGTGGCMACGCTGCAGGGATGCCAAGAGGAAGCAGAAAGTGCCCAGGGCTGTGGGAATGTCAAGTCGTTTATAAACAGTGAGTGCAGAGCAGATTCCCTGGAATCTGATGTGTGTGTGTTCACAGCACAACACGATTCCTCCCCCTCCAGTTTTAAACTGAGGATTTTTAGGGGCACCACAAACTCCATCTGTCTGTGATGGCACTTCATTRTTCCCTGGGGACAGGTGGCTGGAGACTTCCTCTGCACAGCAAAAGCTGGAAACCCCCTGTATCAAATTTGCAGTTTTGGGGGTTATTCCTTTCAGTCACTCCTAAAAAAGGACCTTCACAGCTGTGAGGAACTCTTTGAAAATAGTGACGCAACATGAGCATGTTCAGAGGATAATAAGTGGATTATATTAACAGTAAGAGCTGGCACATCAGGCAGCATCTGCAGCCAGATTACTGCTTTAGGCCCTTATAAATAGAAACATGGATCACCACTCTGGGGATATTTAAAAACCATTTTTTAAGGCAGATGTAGAATTACTGCCTTGCAACTGTCTYGAGCGGGGCAGATTGAAGCTGTCTCACATCAGCTTTGCTGAAGCTTTTGTCACAGCCTTTGTCACATTTGTCAYATCAGCGAGGGCCGCAGCTCCTGGATGTAAACACCTCCCTGGCTGTCCCCAAACCAGCGTGACAGAGCAGTTTTTACAAGAGGACAAACATTAGCCTGCTCTAAAGAACACCCTGCAGCACAGCAGGCTCAATGGCMAATCACAATATCAAAAAGCATTAATTATCCTTCAACTCTGCTGCCTGGGACCCAACAGCAGCAAAAAGCACCGGAGCTGCTCTGCAGATCCTCTCTGAGTCTCTGCTGTGCCAGAGGAGCCTGTTGCACCTCTCACCACGTCTGCTGAACACAATCAGCCCCACAATCTGATACTCTGCATTTTGCTGTCCCCTGCACAAATCTTATAGAGCCAAAACCCAAAGTAGGGGACACCCAAAGGTGCACAGACACACAGTGCCATGCACAGAGCCAAACACAGCAGAGGGATCACAGCTCTCACCAATTCTCTTCTCCAGGTCTGCAGCCTCGCTGGGGGTGGCTCTGGGCAGGATCCCTGGGTCTCTGAAGCTTGTCTGGAGCAGGCAGCTGATGACAAAGAAGAAGAGGACGGCGGCGATGATGGGGATGGCCAGGGTCAGGTGGGTGGCAAGGAAGGGACAGCTGTTAAAAGATAGATAAATAAAATGAAATTGTTATCAATTGTTATCAATCAGCTGGGACATCACACCCACGGAGCTACCATGGAGTAGGGGGTTTGAGTACTGCTGCCTTGTGGAGCCCTGTGGGGTCAGAATCCTTTTTGGGGTTATCAGCCTTTCTGGGGGTGTCCTGTTCAGAGCCAGGAGCTGGACTCGATGATCCCTGTGRTTCCCTTYCACCTCAGGATGTTGTGATTCCCTGAACAGCAAGAGCCACCCCAGGAAACACTGGAGAGACGGGGTCTGCAGCACAGACACACCAAGGGCCTGCACACAACCTCTCTGCTCTTCTGCAGTCCCAGAATCACAGCTCAAAAACCCACCAGCTTGGTCACCTGTACAACAGCAGCCYCAGGAACACAGGAGCAACACCCCAAACTGTGCAGGGATCGGAATTAGGGTGACCACGACCCCGAAGGTCCAACACATGACACCAGCAGGGAACTTGGCTTCGATTCAGCACAGCTTTGCTGCCTCTGGATGACTCTGTGCCCTTGAGGGYGTGCCAGATGTTTGGCTGAGGACACCTCCCAGCTCTGGGTGCTGTGACAAAGCCAGCAAGGTCAGGAAAAGCTGACCTGGGGCTGMTTTTCCAGAGATGGGGACTGCTGTGACCTCACCCCAGAGCTGGGCAGCTCCGTTCCCTGCAGATGGCAGCTGAGGACAGCAGAGGACACAGCTCTGCCCACACACACAGAGCCACTGTCCCCTCCTGCAGAGGGGTGACCAGCACAGGACAGGCTGCCCCAGCTGCAGCCACAGCTCAGGCTCTGCAGCACTCTGAGAGGATTAAGCCACTTTTGTTTCTCCTTCCCAGCTCAGCTGTCCAGAACAAAGCAGCCACCAAGAACAAAACCCCTTCAGCCCAAGCCGGAGCCCCTCWGTCATGCACAGAAAGTCTGTGAAAGGAGAGATGTGAGCTTGCTGTCACCACTTTCCTGGGAGAACCCCCAGGCCCCACTCAGCCCCTCCAGGGAACGTGAAATTACACAAATCACAGAATCCCCAAACRGTTTGGGTTGGAAGGGGTTTAAAGCTCATCCCAYCCCACCCCTGCYATGGCAGGGACACCTTCCACAAYCCCAGGGGTGCTCCAARYCCCGTCCAGCCTTGGGCACTGCCAGGGATGGAGCAGCCACAGTGCYCTGGGCACCCTGTGCCAGCTTTTCCCACAGAAACCATCCAGATGCATCTGCAAACCCYCAGCAAACTGCAGCCCGTGCAACAGAGACATCGGCTAAAAGAACAACTTATAGAGCCCCGGGGCATCCTCAGCCACCAGAGAGTGACTCGGCAAGAAGGGAGGCAGAGCAGATG